TGAGAAAACAGTTGGGAGGAGAAGACCAAATGAACTTTACTGGCATCCTGACACCCATTCATCTGATTGTGTGGAACAATTTAACTATTAATTCCTAAATAGTGGTGGGCTACCGAGGCTGACTATGCTTTTATGAAAGAAATAGTGACTTTCTCAAAAGGAAAAAAGGCTCAAAAACTGCATTTTCTTCCACGAGGTGAATGAAATACGATCCAGACGAAAGGAAACAAGTGACCGCAACGTGAACTATTTCATCAGGTCGGCATTAGACACAAATCCGATACAAGTCAACTCGCAAAGAACGTCTGGGACTGGTCCATCTCATGTTGACCGGGCTTACTTACAGTTGACGAGGGTGCTCTGTACATGCCCAGACGTCGGCTTTCCGAGCCCCGTCTGGCCATCCACGAAGACCGACTGGTCGGTTGGAGTGCCCATCGCGACACCATCGGACACGAGCGTCTTCCTGGCCTCGGGTTCGTTCGAGACGCCGCCTCCGCCTCGAGCACTCCACCATGGCCGAGTGTCCGGTCCTTTGTCCGAGTCGTTCGGTTGTCGGCCAATCGGATTGGGCGTCTGCGGATGGGCGAATTGTCCAGACGCCGATGATTCCTCGTTGAGCCGGTCGTCTCGATCTCGAAGGCCGGATCCGGGCTCCGAGGACTGCGGCTTCTGTTGGCCCCCCGGCAACACGGGCATTCGACCCTCGTGCCAGATGGGAAGAGGGAAGCTGGTCTCCTGTTCCTCTTGTTGCTGCTGCTGCTGCTGCTGCTGCTGATGCTGTTGCGTGTGTCGAAGGGTCGGCAGGGTCTGGCTCGCCTGACGAGGGTGCGTCGGCTCGAAGCCCGTCTCCAACGGCGTCACGGGTGGACTGTAGATGGAGATGGTCTCCAGATTTTTGTCGAATGAAACCGATTTTTTCACACGTCCCGAGCCGTACAGATCGCCGCCCGACAGGCCGCCGGACATGACGAGAACCTGAACGGCGCCGCGTTGGAGTGGACAATTGCTCGAAAGGGTCGAGGTCGTCAGCGGAGGCTGATCGAAAAGCGGTCTGCCGTAGCGCTGCTTCGTCACGTCTGAGGCGGAGAGACAGAGCAAAAGTACAAGTCAGGCAGAAGACCAGATCGTCCGGCATTCTGCAGGCACTTCTTATCTCAAGTCGTCTCACCTGTTGTCAAGGCGACTGAGTAGAACGCACCTTGTCCGAAGTGGTCATCAGAATTTCCAGCTTCGGACCGTGGACTTGGTGGATTCGCATCGTCGATAG